TTATTATAGCTTAAAATGCAATGATTTGTATAGTTTTATAGTTTACAAAAATAATACTTCAAAAGCAAATAAAAAATTAAAAATTTATTTATTCTTTATTATTCTTACAAATATATTTAAAATTTAATTAAACATTATTACATATTCAACAAGTATTATTTATTTTACAATTATATTTTTTATTATATATTCTTAAAATTTTATACATTGTTAACAAATAACACGTATTTCATTTAATTTATTTATCCTAAAACATGATTGGCCGCCTTTATTGTTTATTGTTATTGTTATTATAGATTATTATAGAAATAACCATTACACCTGATCCTGAAATTTGATTGGCTCTTATAAGCTTAGTTACAGATAGATATTGCATGGTTTCAAGTTACATTAAAAGTCCTACGCTTACGCTTTGGATAAAAATATTGTAAAATAAAAAAAAGTTTAGTAAGTCAATTACGTGATGCCAATTATCTCGAAATCCAAAAGGTTTAGTAAGTTAATTACGTGATATCAATTATTACGTGTCAGACAGACGGATATGTTGATAAATAAGGTCTAATATGGCAGCGTTTACATGATATTGATCATTACATGCTGAACAGACGGACATGTTAATCCTTTTGACGTAAACTGTAAAGTCCTTCACTACACTCCAGACAATTATGGACTTTACTATGCAAAAAAGAAAAAAATTAACAGAAGGTGACTGTAATCAAATAATTGGTGCTTAGAAATGTGATGTATCTGATTCTACTATTTCAAAAACATTAGAAATTCCTACTTCTACTGTATATGATGTAATAAATCATTATAAAAATGCCTGAGAAATAAAACCCTTTCATGAAGTGGTAGACCACCTGTTTGACTGAACGTAATAAATATTATTTAATTTGTATCGTTAAAGAAGATCACAAAGTAACTTTAAATGTGTTAAATAATAAATTTACTGAATCTACATCTAATAAAGTTACCACTTGTATTTTACAAAAATATCTTCATTAAAAAGGATTTTATGCTCGAGTTGGAAAAGGAAACTTTTGTAAATGAAATCAATTATAAAAAACGTTTAGAGTAGGCAAAAGAAAGAATAAATTAGGATTCTAAATGGAATTATATCATTTGGAGTGATGAATCCCATTTTGAAGTATTTGGTGATGATGGTCATTATAATGTTTAGAGATTACCAAAAGAAAAAATGATGTAGACTGTCTTTTACTAACATTTAAATTTGGCAGAAAATGTACCATAGTTTGGGATGTTTCTTTTTAAATGGTTTAGGTCTATTAGTACAAATTGATGGTTAACAGATAGCAAAAGATTATATTGAAGTACTTAATAATAATTTATTGCCTTATTTAGAGAATATTGGCAAGGAAAATGGATATTTTTTTCAGGATGACAATGCACTAATTCATCGAACAAAAAAAAATGAATTGGTTTTTCTGAAAAAATGAGTCACATTTTCTATGGCCTCCAGAGAGTCCCGATCTCAATCCTATAGAAAATATTTGGGATGGATGAACTAGAGCAAAGAGTCTGTAAATGAAGTCCATTGCCAAAAAATGAAACTGAGCTATTCAATTTCTTATAGGATGAATGGTCAAATATGGATAGCTCAGTTTACGGTAATTTTATAGAAAGCATGCCTCGCCGTGTTAGGGTTGTTAAAAAATCAAAAGGCTATTCAACTAAATATTAAATTTATATATTAACTAATTGAATATTATATTATTTTTATAAAAAAGATTATTTAAAAATACTATCGGGTTCTTGAGATATTGCAATTTAAAAAATGCATATTAATTGTTAATCGTCACGTGAAATCACAATTTTCTGGTCATTTTTTTCAGGGGAGTGTACAAATTAATGTATTCTAAAGATGAGTCAATCTCATCTAAAAAGCGTCAACAGAACATAGTTGAAAATTCACATATAGCTATGTGATTCTTTAACAACGATTTTTAATGATGTATTGAAACTGAGTTAGGATCCTAGAAGATTGATGATATAGATTTAAGTGGTAATATAAGGAAGTGTATATGTGTATGGTATAGAAAAGTTAAGAAATGCACATATGATTGACTGGAATCAACTGAAAGAAAATAAAAACCTGATGATAAATGCGATTTATTATATCAACTCATTAGTTTTCACAATTAATCCAGAGATCAATATATCTATACTAAAATGACATTCTTGCCAAAAAAGGAGCGATGAATTAGTTGATGATACATGGGATTATATAAAATTAATTAACAAGCTACAATTTCATATGCATTGTAACCCTTTATATTACCTTCAGACCAAATGAAATGGACAAATGCTATGCCAATTCAGGTATTCTATGGAATATACTGATCAAACCTTTATACGTAGTGATAAGAATGGACAGCCTGAAATGGTACAGCTAGAAACGATTGTACATAAACCCACACAATAGGCTTCAACTGCAGGGTTATAGAGTAAATGTAGACCTAAATCTGTTCTAAGTATTCATGCAGCCTTACAATACATATCGAAATATGCAAGCAAAGCTGAGTATAGACCAGCATCATTTTCTTAGATATTCAAACAGATCTTCAATAATAGTAATCCCAACGATCTATCTCTTTACCTAATACAGAAAGTACTTCTAAACAGTATTTAAGAGCGAGACATTTTAGCACAAGAAACATGCCATCTTCTACTCGGAATACCATTATACCACACTAGTCGGGCATATGTTTCATTAAATCTTTATGAGATAAGCCCAAGATGGGTTATACATAACATATATTTTATACTAAAAATATGCAATAATGTAATAACACTGCAAAGAATGTATTGATCACTTAAAATAAGTTTGTAATAAGATATTCTTTGTCTTTAGTTATATGATTTTAGTTTTTATTGTAACTTTATATGGAAATACTTTAATTAATTTAAACAAAATGCTCAAGAGAATTGAAAAATTTCATTTAAATAGATATGTCTTTGAAGGTTGACCCTGTAGTAGAACCTCTCCACTTTTAACCTTTGTTTTGTTTTATTTTAATACTAAGACACTTGTTATTTTTTACTCCTCAAGCTTTATTTCTTGCGCATTATTTCTTTACTTTTATAATCTTATATATCATAATAATTTTAGAAACTTCTTTTGATCCTCTCTTAAATTAAAGTGCTTCTCCCAGAAGGAAACCTATTTTGACTTTTTGTGGGAATTAATACTAGACCCGCGTGACTAATATTTAGCAATTCAGATCTACTGTATATATACATTATCCTATCGAGATTTTTTTTGACTTTGTAATTATATATATTTATTTAATTATCTTACTTTCATTTACGTTTCTTTTCAAATGTCTTAATAATTCATATTTTTCTCACTAGTGACTTTCGATGAATTTATTTACAACAATAGGTAAGTTCCTCTATCAAATTCGTTATTTTTACCATAAATTATTTTGATAAAACAAATATCTCTCTTCTTCTTTCCCTAATTATTAAGATTTAAAAACTAACTTAACATCATCCAATTCTTCGATTGATACTTCAACAGTGATCATATAACAATAATATCAATCCGAAATTTTTATTCTCATCAAATTTTAAATCAAATCATTTTTTTACGGATCCACAAGATGAACGTGCTAATCATCAAAGTTTGATTAATGATTGATGTTACCCATTTTCTCTTTACCCTCTCCTCACCTATCAATACAAACAAATATTAGCAATAAAAACATCTTCATGAATTATTCCATCTCTTATTCGACTAACCGACTTCAACTTGCTCCGATTGTATCCCTACAGTACTTGGAAGTATTTCTATCGCACATCCTTTAGATGGTTCGCTATCCCTATTATCGCATCTCAATAAATATTATCATAAATGTGATTGGCCTGGATGCACTTGGAGTTTTAAAAGGTTCGAACATCTGAAGCGTCACATGATCATTTATACCAAAGAAAGAAAGTTTAATTGTAATTATCCTAGTTGTGGTAAAATGTTTGGCTGTTCGGATAATTTGCGGCTCATTATCAAACGCACAATAAGACTACTCCTCGATCTTGTATTGCGGCAAAGTCGAGTAATAAAATTCAGTTCAATAATTGTATTGATATAACAAGAAACTTCAATTCGGTAATAATAGGATGTCAATTAATTTGGAGCATAATAATCATGTTGTAAGTGATATTTCGATCTCAAACTATCATTACACAAGAACTTGGATCGGCTTATTCTTTCCTTTGTGATGACTCAAAAGATAAACGGTTTTGTTGATTATCCATTTATTTTAAACAAAAGGATTCACCTTTTTTTTTTGTGGGATATAATGCTTCTTTTGTTTTTAAACTATTTTTTTGGATATTATGTAATCATGCATTTATTTTTTTTTATTGAAAAAATATTTCGTTACAGTTCATAGTTTTTAACATTATTAAGACGGCTGGTTCTTGTCTCTGGTACTTTATTCTTTGAATTCATGAAATCATTTCTTAAAAGGAGAAAAAAAATTTTACGAGAATTTGATCGCAATATCTTCACAGTTAAATTTGAACTGATTGTAGATTTATATTTTTAATCCGGAAAATTCCTTTTTTTTTGCATAGTTTTGGTGAACGCAAGTATGAGATGATCTTTAAGTAAAGTCCGTTTGTAATGATCCTTTTTCTTTTATTTATTATTATATATTAAATAATATTTACAAAAGTTCATTATGAATTCGATTAAGGTAATATAAATTCAGTTAAATCTCCAAAAATTTGTTTGGATTTAAGATGATTATTATGGAGGAAGAAGAAGTTTTTAAAGTCTCTAAAAATGAAAGTCCAGAATTTGACATCCAATTATCCAATCATCTTGCAAATTTCGATGATTATATACTGATATCATTTCACCAAATTCTGAAGAATCCGTTGTAGAACTAACATTTATTGAAGACGTATACAATTATTTAGGATTTGAATCGAATATATTTTGTTGTACTTGTTCCTGTTTCACTTTAAAAATTTTATTAATTATTGAATGTATTTCCTTTATCAACTTGTTGCGATATCAATCGTAAAAATATATCTGAACCATTCTGTAGTTGCACTTTTGAAGGCATCTTTGGATCACTAGTGAATTCTGAAAAATCAAAAAATGTATCTTGCTGATATTTGTGTGAATTTGAAGGTTTGAAATTGGCAAAACAGTAGACGAAATCCAATTATCATTATCTTGTTGTTTTTGTTCATTGGGTTTGCTTGAACCAAATAAATCAGCATTATAGCTGAAATCTTTTCACCAAAAACTGAAAACGACAATTTAGAACTTGAATTTTTCTTTGTATTGTATAACACCTTTTCAGGATGATCACATAATTTTGTACTTGATGATGTCGTATAATTATTAGAAGACGATGATTTGGGTAACACTTGATCATCGAAGTTCAAGAAATTCTCCTGATTCAAATTACCCGAGGGAATAGCAGAAACCATATTTCCAAAATCTGAAGAGATCGACAAAGTACTTTTCTTCTTTGCAGGGGGTTAGTATTATTGGAATTAATAGGATTCATAATTTATTCACGTTTTCGTCAACTTTCTTCGAGTCATTTATTAAATCATCTAGTAAGTTTACAGTGATACTTGTCGAAGGATTTTCTATAATTGAATTTGATTTCAAAGTTTCAAGATTTGTGATTAAATCAGTTGAATCACGATTAATTTGTGTTATAAAACTATCTATTCGATAATTATTATTAGTAGGTGTTGTCGTTGATATTACTCCAATATCAAGAAAATCATCAAGAAACATTTCAGTTTTTCATTGTGATTTTTTGGTGCTGAATACACTAGATAGTCTAGAAGATAATGATTCCAAAAATGAAAGATCTGACATAGTTATCCAAGAATCTTGATTCAAATCTACACCTTGATCAATATTATTCGACTTGATAGGAGCTCCTTGTCCTTGTGTGTTATCAGTGTTATTCTGTTGAATTCTTCTCTTGTTCTTTTTTGTAATCATGAGTATATGGGAGGTGGTCAATAGAAAAGGGAAAATCTACAAATTTTGAGTAATTTTAGTTATTAAGCTAGTTTTGTTCACATGACCATGATCAACAGAGTGAGCTAATAAAAAATTTTGACTAAAAAGTGGATTTCCTCCTTTTCTACTGACCGCCTCCCCCATATTGTTCAGCTGATGAGAATGACATTAGATATCGTCATCGTGAGTAATTTGTTTGAGTGATGATGAGTTCTATAAACGAACTCCAATTCAAGTTAGCATTCATCATTCTAATGGATCAAAAAGAATTAGTCAAAAAAAAAAATATTTTTCCAACAAAGGACTTATGTGAATTATATACAAGATCTTTTATGAATACGGGTTTTACTTTGTTATTGTGACTATCTAATACTTTACAGAAACTTTGTTTCCTTACTATGCAGTAACTGCATAGTACCTATTAGGCTGCAATTAAGCTACTATTAAGTAAGATAGTAATTATATATTTACTTTATAGTCACTTTGCAATTACTGCATATTAAGAAAACCAAGTTTCTGTAAAGTACTGTAAATTATAAATTTTATCTAAGACAGCAATCCATCTAGCAACAGAATTTTTTATAGACTGTTTATAAGAATTTTTTTTTAAAAATTAGTGTTATTTTAAAAATTAAATTGTAATAAAAGTTATTATTTTAGAAAATTTGATATTTTACCATGTTATGATCCAAATCTAAAGAAACTTTGTTTTCTTACCTATTAGGCTGCAATTAAGCTACTAAGTAAAGTAGTAACTATATATTTACTATATAGTCACTTCGCAGTTACTGCGTATTAAGAAAACTAAGTTTCTGTAAAGAATCATTTGAATTTTCGAATTATGATTTTCTTTAGTAATAATATTGATACTTACAATTTTTTCTCCATTTCAGCATCATCAAAATCATCATAAATAGATTGTTCATTTCTTTAATAATTATAAAAATCATTTGTCTTCACTCTTAAATTCACCAAATTCATCAAAACTACTTTCTTCATTACATTCAAAAACACCAAAATCATCATCTTCCTTCTTATTTACAACAAATTTCTCTGATTTCACATTTTCACATTGATTAAATAAATCATTTAGCTCTTGATTATTCAAAATCATTATCAAGCTTTATATAAGGATTGATAAATTCACCAAATTCATTAGATAATCCTTTTGAAGGAAAATTGTCTTATCCTAAACATAATCAGAGTTTTCAGAATTAGATACTTCATTAAAGCTTTTATGATTATTTTTATTATCTAGTACATCATTATTTTTTTGTAATATATAATTGATCGGAATTTTTATGATCCTCTTCCCATATGTTGCTTGTAGAGTCTGCATCAAGTTCGGAAGTTGCTTGTATATCCCAAGAAAATGACGAAGACCATATTGTCGCATTTCCTTGTTCTATTTAAGTAAAAGTTGGTGATGTTGAAATATCGTTATTATCACTTATAGGTTCTGGTGTAGTTGGTGTTTTGGGATTTTCAACAACTTTTTTTTTTTAGCTGTTTGTTTACGAACCATTTTTTTTAAGGATAGAAATTTTATCATTTTGAATGTAAATGAAAAAAAAAAAATAAATAAATAGATTATAATTGAAAGGGCTGTGCATAGCCGCTCAGTGTAGTACAAGAATTTTCATACAGGGGAATAATCTATGGATGTCTCTTCAGTTAACACGATTTCGGTCCTGGTTTAAAAAAAAAAAAAAAAAAAATCATTTATCAAATTCCGGTCTAGACTCCAGTTCCAAGCTAAGTCATTATAAACAAAACTGTAATTAAGGTTGGCATTTCATTATTTTATCCGATCGGTTTCGTTCCTTTCTTATTTTTTCTTTAGGACGTCTCCTAAACTGGATTTCGGGAGAATATAGCAAACCTGTACAGTACGGTTAGCAAGTAATGTATGGTATGGTTTTTTTTTCATACAAGTATGGACATTGCTAGGGTGATACGAATAGTAGTTTAGTCGTATATCACGTGATATGATGTTATTTCATACTCAACTAACCCTAATTAACTCTACTCCTATTCGTCTTACCTACATTGCTAACCGTACTTGTATAATACCCATACAGTATATATAAACTAGGGAACGGTAACCGTTCTAGTCCAAAGCATAACAGGACTTATAATAAAAATCAATAATTTATTTAATTTATGTTCAATTTTTTTTGTGTTTAATGTTCAATTTTTGTGAAACGTACGTGACCAGCAACGCAGAATTCATTGGTGATAAATATGCATTGTATTTGTTTAATTGTAACTATCGATCTCATTTATTTAAACATAATAAAAAAAAAACCAAATGAAGAATTTCGATATGAAAATCGTAAAATTCGAATTTACATTTATAACTTAAAAGTTCAAAATAAAGTAGAAAAAACCAAATGGAGAATTCCAATATGAAAATCGTAAAATTCGAGTTTGTTATTTTGATTTTTAAATAATGAATGAAAAAAAACTGATATTAAAATAAAAAAAAAAAACAAATGGAGAATTTCGATATGAAAATCGTAAACTTAAAGGATTTTAATTACATTTTCTTAATTGTTGAATGAAAGGATTGGATACCGAAATGGTTTAAAGGCATGTCTCCCTATCTTGTAATTTTTTTCCGGGTTTATAAACAGTATATATAAGGTCTTCGAATTTTCGACGAGGGAAAAAAATTATTTCAAATTATTTTTACAATGAAAAAAGGTTTATTATATTACATTCTTATAAATTTTTCAACGATAGTTCTTGCTGATTGGATCACTGTAGAACATGATTTTAAGATGTGCGACCAGGTCGTACCTTCTAACCTTGCGGCGTTCCATATAGACGATGATGGCATTTCTTATTCGACATCT